CTCTCAGTGTACGGTGAGTAACATCTGCTGTTTATCATCATAATATGGTGGTTTTATTCCAACATCTTTGACCTCAGAAGTCCTCAAGTTTCGCTCTGATTAACCTTATTTTATTCCTCTGATGTTTGCTGTGTTCAGCACTGATGAGCCTTGAAAACAAAGGTTGTTTTTTATTCACAAAACTGGAAATAATTTATTAATTTAAATTGATCTCTTTTTCTCAAATAAAAAAAATGAATCAATTTACTTAACAATTTCATATCCTTTACACTCCTTACATTAGTAAAGATCTGAATAGTACTTTTGAACCAATTGTTCTTTACATTTAATTACTCAGAAAAAATGAATAAAGATAACAGGAGCTATAAAATAAATCATTTGTAATAAAAACATCTAAAAGACAAGCAATTAAACCAATAAAGCTTGTGATAATGAACTTAATAAAATCAGCCTGATTTTCTGCTAAAATTGAGCCAAAAATAAAGATGAGTCTTTAACAGATTGAAATTAGTCCAGGTGTTGGTCGTCCTTCCAGGGAGTTACACCATTCAGTTCCAGACCAGCAGGACAGGAAACCAGCATCACAGCTGAGGACAGTTTGGAGGAACCAACTAAACAATGATGTTATTTGAACTGTGATAAGAAGCTAAAACAGGCAAAGAGAAGCTGGACATGCAGAGGGAGAACTCAGAGTAGAAAGAGACCAGACTGGGATTTGAACCCAGGACCAACTTGCTGCAAGGCAGCAGTGGACAACTCTCTGTGTTTTAGTCTAATATCTGTGTCCCTTTTTGCTTCTTTCTATGTTCACTAGTCATTTTCTCTCAGCCACCAGGTGATGATGTCACTGATCACCTTGTCAGAACTGATGAACATTAGATCAACATTCAGACACTCGTTTCAGATGTTTTTCACCTTTTATAAAGTCCAGTTAAAAAGGGTTTGGAGAACAGAAGTTGGACCAGCTAAGTTTACTGAGTGAAAGGCTCCATGTTTATCTGCTAATGTTGTTGTTTCAGTGATTTATTCCTTTCATCAGACAGTAAACAGCTTTTAGGAATAAATTTAAAGTCTAATCAAATGTTGCTTCTATAAAAATCTCCAATAAATTATTTTATTCAATATTATATTCATTAATTATTCCAATTTTGAAATCGCCTATTATTTAAATACTTGAGTTTGACATCTTTCCATCCATGTATGTTGATAATAATAGTTAACTCATTCCCAGACTCTACCAAAGCCTGTTTAACAGTGATGTTGGTTTCTAGAATCCATTGTTCTGAAGCCAGATGGGAGTCTGACTGTTGCTGCTTCATTATTTAACAGAACAACCAGAGAAATGATCTAAAATACACTGGAAATGATGAATCAGTCATTTAGGTTTTCAGATGAACAGAACAGAACATAGCCCAGTCTAGATAATACCACCACTAGATGTCGCTGTTATTCTGCAGATGAACCAAACTATGTTCAATGTGGTCAGTCTGGCTACCTATAAATGAGGAGAAATGAATCATTGTCATATTATACAGATCATGATTCATTTTAATTATTGCTGCACTAATAATCATGATAATGTTGCATTTATTTACTAGATTTTATGTCACTGATGTCAAACAGTGATCAGTTCCTGTCGTCTGTATCTGGTTTTATTGAACTTTTTTAATGATCCTACAATAACAGTTTATCTNACCCAACAGTCCTTTAATGACTTCCCTGGTGTCACCTAGCTATCACCTCCATTGTTTTATTAACCAAATCTAGCTAAAAATGGTCCCTACCCCTAAATGCTCCCTTAGCAACAATCACAATATGTTAATGATCCATTATCTAAATATTTAATAATTTCAGATCAGGTAAATTATTTAATAAAATACTTTAATACGGTTTTATTTAACTCTTGGATTTGCATTGTGAATTGGTTTGAACACATTCTAATTGCTCTAAATGGGTTTAAAGCTAATTGACCTCATTCCAAACACTTCAATAAAATCTTTGGTTCTCAAACATTAAAATCTTTGCTGAACTGTGATATCATTGCTTTTATTTATTGATAATGAGTATTAGCCGTTTTTACTTGGCTTTTTTCTTGTTCATAGTAGCTAAGTAGTTCAATTGAGTCTCACTAGTTTAATTAAGAGTTTTTAATGCAAATATTTTTGATACAGAGTTGAAATATTCTTGTTAATAAACTCTTATATTTTGATTGGAAGTTGTTGAGTTATTTTTCCATGTGTGCAGAGTTAACTGACTGACCATGATTGGAGCTTGAAATCCAATTTCACATATCGTCCAAACTGTTGCCTGTTGAGTTTGTGTTCACAGAACAAAAAGTTATTTGATTAAATAATGTAAAGATTAAATGACTATTTAATGAGTAATTAATTTCATAACACAAAGTTTTAACCAAGTGGAGCTCCAGCAGCTGAATGAGGGAACTCAAACTTACATTTTCTGCAGGGATTCAGAGATGAAGCGCTGCTGCTGTAGTGCTGTTGGTGGACACAGTCATTTTCTTCATGTATTAAAGAGACTTTTTTAACATATCTGATATCAAAGTGTGTCTGCATGTGATGTGATGTCTGCAGATTGAACCAACTACAGCTCTCTGGATTTAGACTTTGTGCTCCTGTATAAATACTATGTTTCTGTTTCTGCCAACCTGAACCCAGAGCTCATCACTGTGGTTCTGTCCCCTTTACAAACACATGGCAGCTGAATAATAGACAATTCCAGTGATTGTTGACTCTGTGTGGGAAGAGATAGAATGTAGAAAAGATTCTCCCTGTGTTATGTCTCTTGCGTTTGGATCTCTAAT